ACACAGGGGTCTCTCTTTGTCATTGACCTTTCAAGCCTCTGTTTATCTCCGATGGTCTCCAGCAGCTTCACCTCGGCCTCCCTCACCCTCTCCTCCAACCTGCACTCACACACACGAGTCCCCATTTCCGCCATCCTGCCGATGAGTAGTGAGATGCGGACGCCCATGTTGTCCACGGCCACGCCGACCAGAATGCCCATGAGTGAGGTGAGCATGCCGTACAGACCGTATAGCCAACCCGCCTGCTTGTCGTCAAGGCCATACTCCTCGCTGCATACCACCCATCCGGCACACAGACAGACAGAGAGATGACACACAGAGAGGAGGGAAAATGCCTGCCCACTCACACACCTGAGCCATATGACGAGGATGAAGCTGAATGAGAAGTAAGCGAATGATTCGCCCGACTTAATCAAATACACACATAGCAGCTCTGCAGCACACACAGACAGACAGACAGGCAGACAGGCAGACAGGCAGACACAGACAGACAGACAGATCTATGCATCCGTGTGAGTGTGTTTGCTGGCTGACCTCGTGGGCACTCCGCCAAGGTGGCCAATTTCTCATACAGATGAAGAACCACATCCAAGCAGCCTGCACACGGCACCCACCACTTGTGAGAGGTGAGCTCGAGGTCTTCGTCCGTCTCATCATCTGGCAGCGAAGCATCGTATGGCGTTCGACGCAGGCCGCGAGGCAGACGGGGAAGGAAGCTGCAACGGCACAACTCATCCATCGGTTAATCCCGTTTACGTGCGAGCTCAGGGAACCGCGAAGGAGCCAAAGGTTCCCCGGCCCTTGTCGGCCTCCGACCCCTGCTCAATGGCTGCTGATTTGGTGATCGACCCGAAGGACCTCATTGTTGGCGACAAGGAGCTCGGTCAGCACACTCACCTCCACAGGGAGTCCCCGGGCTTTGGATGCCGTGTGTATGTGTGTTTTATCCTGTTCCCTATAGGGAGTGGTGGATTCGGAGTGGTCTTGCGAGGAGAGCTGCGAGGGCGGCCCGCGGCGGTCAAAATCTACAAAGGACATGAAGAGCTCGACCGAGAGGTGCTGCTCGGGAGTCGGGAAGAGGCCTCCCCCTCTCCCCTGTGTCTGTTGTTTCCGTGTGTGTGTGCAGTCGCAGTTCATGGAGGTGCTCAAGGAAGCGTTGCCAATGATCCAGCTGCGACACCCCAACATAGTACAGCTGTTGGGCATATGCAGAGACGACAAGCACGGTCTCATGATCGTCATAGGTAGCCAGCTGCTAGTCTATGATTCTTTTCGTCCATCCGCCTTGTCCTTTCTTGTGTCTGCTCGCCATTTTCATCAGAGTTGTGCGAGGGAGGCTCTCTTACATCCTATCTGGCCAAATACGGGCCCCCACCGCCCGATGTGCGCGACAGATTTGCCAAACAGGTCGATGGCAGCGTACATAGCTTACATGCAGAGTCTCTAATGTCTCCATCATCTGTATCTCCGCCTGTCTATGTGTGTGTTTCGCTCACAGATATGTGAGGGTGTGCAGTATTTGCATGACAACCAAGTCGTCCACAGAGACTTGAAACCCGAAAACATACTGGTCGGTCACGATAGAGACCCTCCCATGAGAGGGTTTCAGAACTCTTGTTGTTGTCCCGCTTGTGCTGTCAGCTGGACGAAGGCCACAACATCAAGATTTCTGACTTTGGGATGATTCGCAGCTCTGATAGAAAAACAACGCTGACTGCAGGTAGTCACACGCAGATAGATCTTTCACAGTGCGGCTCACGAGAGCAGAAATGACTCATGTACTGCAGTTGGCGGGACTCCCAACTTTATGCCTCCCGAGGGCTTCGACGTAGGCTGTAAGCAAAGCGAGTCAATGCTACTGGAAGGCCTTATTGTTCTGTTTTTCAGTGGACAAGCTGACCGTCAAGGCGGACATATGGGCGTTGTGCGGCAGTAAGCAATCTCATACACAAAACAGACATGTCAAAAGCAGTAGTTCATCCCCTCTCTCCTGTGCATCTGTGTATGTGTGCGTCTCCAGT